GTTGAGATAGATAAATCAATGGCACGAGCGGGATTCGAACCCACGATCTTCGGCCTGATATGCCGCTGCTCTACCACTTGAGCTATCGAGACCTCGACCCACTCGACACTAACTTCCCATCTCAACCCCACCTTTTGAATTTTCCCTCGTTTTTGCCATTTTTGCGGACCACGAAAACTAGTGAATTTAATAAGTTAAAATGAAGTATCGAGTGGGTCGAGGTCACGATAGCTCAAGTGGCAGAGCAGCGGCCTATCAAGCCGAAGATCGTGGGTTCGAATCCCGCTCGTGCCATTGATTTTTTTATCTCAACTAAAAACCTTAATTAATTGTAATACGTTGAAAATGTTGGCTCTGGGAAAAATTACAAGCCCCATACCGTTCATTTTGCGTTCTCCACGCTCTTTCACGCCCATCTGGGGATCGTAACGCAAATCTACACTGATCCGTAAAACATACAGCAGACCTATCGTGAAAATACGAATGGCTGTGTTCTCTAGCAGATGCGAGCCGTGCAACTCCGTGTGCTCTGGTCAATTTTGGTCCTTTTAGGGGCAAAAAGCCATCATTCTATACTGATTTAATCTTCTTCGACCAGTGCGTTCAGAAATTTGGAACCTCGAAGTTCCTGGAGCTGATAAATCGCTTGAACAGTAAGGTGCCGGTTTCGCAAAATTCTCAAAGTCGAAAAACGGTCGTCCTGTCGTTCTGTTACCCTAGGACGTCCAGAACCTGGCCATCTATGGTAAGATCCAGTTTCTCCAAATCGGTTAACGGCATCTTGCGGTGTTTCGTAGGGAACTCAGAAGGCAATAGCCGCATACCTGCTGGTACGTCCATCATCAATACGTGCCACACCATGCGCAACATCCTCAGCACTAAGCGGCACTTTTAAGTTTAAAATTGAAATTAAGGATACAAATTCGTCAACTAAACAGTTTGTTGCTTCAGAATTCAAATGAGACTGAATGAACATTTTAAATTTCATAAAAATTAAACATTGAAAAATCCTTTATCCTTGTTTTGGATTAAGGATGAAGTGGGTTTACGTCTAATTGATATTCCCAATTTAAAACATAGCATAAACAAATATTTACTGATAAAAACAGTTAGACAAATTAACGTCAGAATTTTCATTCATCGAGAAAATTAAAAAAAAAAAAATCAGTTGTGTGGAATTTTTTGCCTGTAAGTGTATATATATTTATTAATTTACTAATAATTTGGGTTATCAATAGGCTAAGTTCAAAAATTTAACTTGATTGACACACATTTTACTTCCTCTTAAGCAGTTTTCCTAAGTACTAGCAAAGTTACTAAACTCAATCAATTTTGTGGGTACGTTTTTGTTTGTTATGCTAAACATGGGCTTGGAGTCGTTGTAATGCAATTGAAAATTAAATGATGGGCAATCGCCTGGGTCGAATTGTCACCGGTTAAATTAACGAGCGTAACGGTACCACAATGACATCACGATGGTGGAAAATTCGTTTTAAGCAGTCATTCCGGCCTGTTGTAATAAAAAGCCCTTGATATCATACATACATACAGTACTTAGGTAACAATCTAACCTATTGAAAATGATATCATTTTCATGATTATATAATTTTACCAAAACGAAAAAGTACATAAAATCATGAAATGGCTTTAACCAAATATTTTATAGACCTTAACTAAACTGCTACCTCTGTCGTTTATAATAATCTAGCTGTTTATTTTTTATGTAGTTTTTGAAAACACGTGTTGCTCACTTCATACATACATGTTAAAATTACCAGATCAATTTTTTGGTATAAGTGCAAGGGAGCAAAGATTATGACCAGGCCATCCAATTTTGGTCTTATATCGTGAATCAGAGGGTAATTGTGTCCTCGTATGATGACCTGTCTTCCTGAGGGAGGTTGATTCTTTTATTCCTTAAATTTCTTTCCAAATTTAAATTAATTGTATCAACCACGGTCGTGCTTAGAATATTTTAACCATCATAGAATTAGAATGGCCGTTCAGGTTTACGTATATATTTAGATTCAGAATTATCACATTCGGACTATGTTCCGAATATTTTAATAATTTATTTGACCAGATCATAAGTTCATATGATACACATTATTTAATGTCTTACGAGTACTTCCAAAATATTCCCTGATTGCTCAACAATTGTTTTAATATATAAAATGATAATATTCAGACTTTCATACATCTCTACGAGAACCTGGCCGTTTCTGTACATAACTTTGTCTTTTGAATTGTGATATGCACTTAGTCCTTAATGTAGTAAGGTTCTCAAATTCCTCTGGGGCCCTAGAACTTTCAGCTCTAGCATTCCAATCCATCACAATTAGCTATGATTGAAGATGATTAAAAAATCTACGATAATTTCTAACGAATTGACAAAAATTATCTAGACTCAACGGTGAAGATGGCGAAAAGCCGAGTCGCACGTGACAGACCACCCAGCGAGGAAGGTAGATGATACGTAACGACCAAATTATAGTTGATCTCCATGCAGACCACACAGAGAAATCTCAAAATTACTAAACAATTTATGAGCTGCAAAATTAATTTTTATACCATATGAACTTCGTTCCTATGATTATTTTGAGATCTTGAGATGCCGGGTGGTACGACGGTTTTAGAAAAACATTTTCTTTATTGTGCCAACGTTTCGATCTTTATTGAGATCATCTTCAGGGTTCAAAGAGTTTGTTTTTGTGTTCCGTGTTGGGAGTGCCCACAATTAGGTATAGGCACTCTCAACCCGACAAACAAGAATGACACATCTACACAAAAATACGTTGAGCCCTGAAGATGATCTCCATGAAGGTCGAAACGTGGCACGATAAAGAAAATGTTTTTCTAAAACCTAGGCCACACCAGACCGCATCTCACGATCTCCAAATAATCATTAACAAACGGGCACTAAATAACACACATTAGTTCCCTATCTTAATTTTTATCTTTTGAATTTTCTATTATGCAGGGTGACCGGCAATAAGTGTCGAAATGTCAGGTGATTCTACTCACAAAAAATACCCTTTGAACCCCTGACATAATCTCAACGGTAAGGATATAATTTCAGGTTTTCGGTTGTTTTTTTTCGATTTAGATCCACTAAATTGGTTATAACTTCAGAATTACAGGTTGTAAAAAAAATGTAGTTTATACTATCGAAAGGATGTCAAATTTTCTATAAGAAAACGGATTTACCTTGCAAAATTGTTGAAAAAATTCTGCACGAAAAATTCAGAAAAACTATAAATGTTAAAATTTAGAATTTTTTGAAAATGTTTGATTCGAAACTGTTAAAACTACAAACTCCTGGAACATTGCAAATTACTTTCAATTAATTAAGGTTTTAATTGAGATAAAAAAGTCAGTGTCACGAGAGGGATTCAATTCATTTGTCGCCGAGAATCAAATGGAATACAGGACATTTGAAAAATGGCAAAAAGGAGGGAAAATTAAAAAAAGTGGGGTTGAGATAGAAAGTTAGTGTCCGAGTGGATCGAGGTCACGATAGCTCAAGTGGTCGAGCAGCGGCGTATCCAGCTGAAGATCGTGGGTTCGAATCCCGCTCGTGCCATTGACTTTTTTATCTCAACTGAAAACCGTAATTAATTGTAAGATATTATTTGGTCAAGCGGACCACGAAAACTATTGAATTGCAAATTACCTCAAATGTTTCCCATTCAATTAGCATCCAACGTTATACGTACCGTTTTGGATTGCGTTTCTTAAAGCCCAAAAAGTTTGCATTTTTGATAAAAAAAACTGATTGTCATCATTAGTCTAAATTTTGTAAATAGATGTTCATATTTGCTAACCTTGTAATTATTACGAGACTCATCATAACGAGACAGACTTCAACAAAAAAATTGTAAAACCTTTCAAACGAGTTTCATCAAACATAGGCTTGATTGGTAAGGGTCAGAACACAACGGCGATCCCGTATGCACCCTCATATTCCAACGCAGCAATTCAACCTTCCGTTAATATGTACCTTGGCCAAACTCATAAGGCCAAGTTGGGCGTTTTATTCATTTTACCAATCAAAACGAGAACACTGTAAAAGGAACGAGAGTAAACACCAATCTATAGATACATTGAACAATGTTACCTGGTTTTGCTGTAAAAATTGAACTGGTTCACAATATCCTTTTTTTGTCTATTTTTTATTACCATCTTACTAGTTTAAGCTCTGTACATCACAAGGTTTTCAATAATAACGTTCAACTTGATTTATGTTTTTCCAACTCGTAAAGGTTGGGGGGGGGGTTGAGCTAGATCTATCACGTCAAGAATATTTATCAAAAGTTAATATTTGAGATCAATTGAAGATGACACCAAATCACAAATATCTTGCACCAAAACTAGGAAAATATGGTGTAAATACACAAAAAAGACAAATAAGAACAGAGATTATTAGAGACTGAAAAGACGTTTTCATACTAAGACTACACAGATGTAAGTTACGCCAAAAAAGCTTCAGTGAAAAAACCTAAACAAGCTATATAGGCAGAAACCTTTAACCGTTGTAACAAGGTGGTTGAAGTTTTTTAATTGCTAATGAGATGGCAACTAATTAAAATATCTGAACAACGCAAATCACCTTCAAAAATTTCATACATTTCTTTTTTTCTAAATCTTCTCATTTCCTGAAATATGGAAGACACAATGGGGAGTCTAAGCCAGACCAAAAGTAAATGCATCGTCCACGGAAGCAATGAAAAGTGATTAAGTTAGTCCACTAGGACAAGCCAGTAGGTAAATCGAAATCGAGATCATCAGTCATTGGTGAAAGGTGTCGTAATCTGAGTACGACTGTGGCTCCAGTTAATAATGTGGCTTACGTATTGTCCAAGCGAGTTATTGCCCCGGAAACGTTGGTGGATACACGGGCGATCCATCAACCTAGGATTACCGTCAGCTCGGTTATTAATTTTTTTTTACCAAAGGGATTACAGATTTTTGACAAAAGAATTCAGTTTTGATGTACTGACCTGGACATCCAGAAGTGCACTCGTCTTTTTGGACCGAAGCTCCGGAACATGCTCTTCCACCATTGAAAGGTGACGGGTTGGAACAGGTCCTTGTCCTTTTCTGTACTCCGTGTCCACATCGTGCGCTGCACTCTGACCATTGAGACCATGAAGACCATCCTCCGTTTACTTAAACAAAGAAAACGTGCAAAGTTAATTAGCAAATCAACCTAATAAAAACGCTTAATTAAAAGAACAGAAGAAGTGTTTAAAAAAACAGTCTTTACGGATTAGTAGAGCTAGCTGCGAAGGTTGCAACTTACTCCAACGGCAACAATGATTCACTTAATCTGTTATCGGATTAAGGGTGACGAGATCTCGAGGTCATTAGTTTGGGGCGACGTGGTGAGTATTTATGATGGAGTTAGTAGAGAGGGTTTGAGTAGTAGGATTCAAAGATAATTGCGAAACCTGATGAAGGGAGATCGATTATTTACCGATCGAATGTTAAAAATGGGTAATGAGATGTGTGTTGTCGAAACGAGCTTGCAGAATTCTTCTGACGACTTTTGACTGGAATGCTTAGGGTAGCTGGATATTATATGACTTGCTGATCCCCCACAGCTCCGAATTTTGTAAAGTGTAAGAATGTGTGGTGATTAGTGACCGTTAATAGATAATTATTCAGAAATCGTGAGATGCGGTCTGGTGTAATGTAGGTTTCAGAAAAACATTTTCTTTATCGTGCCAATGTTTCGATCTTTATTGAGATCATCTTCGGAGCTCAAAATGTTTGTCTTCTGTGTAATTGTACCATTCTTGCGTGACGTGTTGAGAGTGCGGTACTTTGAGCCCTGAAGATGATCTCAATAAAGATCGAAACGTTGGCACGATAAAGAAAATGTTTTTCTGAAACCTACATCACACCAGACCGCATCTCACGATTTCTGAATAAGTAAAGTGTAAGTTTATTCATTACACTCTAGTCTAATTTCGGTCCTAGAAGTTGTCTAAGCCGTCTGTGGACTCTTATGAGAAATGCCATGTCTATATGCTAATTATAGTCTTATGTGTAGGTATTAGTAGGTCCTTGCAGCTAACGTTGAAGAAGTGTTTATTTAACGTGAAGGTAACATGGGTGAAATACGGTAGAAATATATGACTGGACCAGTAACCCTTGTGGTACGCCTGCTTGGATCGGCCATGCCTTTAAGAATTCATTTCCGCACTTTTCCTTGGAGTATTGAACTGCTTACGTTTGACATAACCCCCCACCAAACCATATCATGCCAAAAGCTTAGTCCTATCACCAGCAGTATTCTCTGTTATCTAAAGCAGAGGGAAAATATTGCCTACTGACTTGAAGATGAATATCGAAGTTATGAGAGGTGAAATTGAACAGAGAGAAGGAAGGTTTCATCCAAGATGGGTAATAAGCGTTTTAAAAGGAGTCTTTCGCACGTGAAGAATTTATAGGTAGTACGTTGTAAGGTTAATGATTATAGAATATTTCCATAGCGTAGGGAAGATGTTCATAAGATTCAATTGTAAATAACAATTAGCCAAACAATGGTTTTCTGCGTGAGGACAGTGGTAGTTATGAGATCGTATCTGGGGGATTTTCTGATTGGGGGTTTGCGAATATAGGACTTTTCTATGAAACTGATATCAAAACAAATTTAGCACAACATTTCTATGCTAATTGTGAAATATTAAAGCATTTTTCGTGGCTTTATTCCTGAGTTTAATTAACACCAACCCCTACAACTGCATTTTTTGTTCTTGTATGGTGTAGTAGTATCTTATTACAGTTAAGATCATTGCTTTTCGAATACCCGGTGTCTTTTTTTTTTTTTTTGGCTTGTGGTAGTTTAATATCTCTGCATGGAACTGACACCCATTGTATTTCCATCGGATTTCACAAGGGTACTGAGAAGAGGGGGCGAGATATAATAAAAGGGAAGGGTGGCTTTTGTCCTCTGGCAAAAGGAAGTCCGTCAGTGCATCCGTCTTGTACCATGCTAATTCCCAAAGGCAACAAATTCCCCGGTTTCATCCGGCCATGCCAAGAACCTAGGCGAAAAACGCGGATGCGGTCCGTCGGATTGCGGCCTGCGACAGGAAAAAACACGAACGATTTATTCAGGATATATCTGATTTATACCGACCGAAAGGGGAGATCGGGGTTTTTTCCTTCGATTTTTCATACAACGGATGTAAAAAGCGTCTATATATTGTCTCGAAGTAAGGTTTTTGTACGGGTGTTTATTTGTTAGACATGTATTTAATTACGATGAACGATTTGACCCACGCATATGTACAAACCGAAGAGCCCTTTCTGTTCTGCCAAAATTACATTTACACTTAGATTAGTGATGAATAAAACAAAAACAGACAAAATTACTTGCCTCTAGAGAGGTAAATTAACCCAGAGACAATGCAGAGTACACAAAAACGTGTACGACGAACGAAAGGCATTTCCGATTAATTTGGGAAAGTAGTACATCAGTGAAAGAGACAGTCTTCTTTTTGCTAAGAGACAGTCCTGGTGTGACTAGTTTTTGTACTTTCGGGAGATGTCTTCGAAAAAGAGATTTTTATTTCACAATAACACACAGCAATCTGGTAGGTATACGTATGGGTTATTACATGTGCCATGTGGGTTTAGATGTATGCTTTCAATGACTTTACGATCGTTTGAATATTTTCCTCTTTTTTTATAATTATAATTAATTTTTATAAATTAATTTATCAGCTAATACCTTTACACAATCCAGGCATAAGTCACGCAAAGGAATTCATAGAAGGGCCATCTGCAAGACGGTATTACTGGAGGGTAACCGCCGCAACCGAAAAATCCTGGCAGGGCAGTGCGGCCTAAAGGCTAGTACACACTGGTATACAGGGTATTTTGGTCTTGAGAACTGTTCTAGAGATTGTGCATATACTGATTAGGTCGATTTTCGATGGTCTCTCGTGACCATGCTGAGAGACAAGTCGCGGAATATTGTTTCCATTCCAAAGTGACCAAATTGGGCAAGGTTGCGCATGGCATGATGAAGACGCTTGTTATACCGAAGACCAGTCCAACTAGCACTCACTCGAACTTCACTTAATACACATCACTTTTGTACACTTTTTCGGCCGAGAATCCACCGAAAGTTGCTTCTTGTGGAAGACTACCACATTTAATCATGTTTACGGGACGTCACTAATCCCGTTTACATAAATCACTCCAGAGAGGAGCAGGAATGGAAGAACTCGCTAAAAAAACATGAAGTGTCCGTGGGTGATCTTGAAAAAAAAAAATTCATAAATGATAAATCTCTTTTAATCTGGATAACAATAAAGTTGAGAGTAAGAAAAGTGGTGGCTCTCCTTACGTTTCTAACTGGTTTAAAGTTTTACGTTTCAGTGAGATTTTAAGTACGTGTAGATTCTTGCAGCTAGGAGAGGAAAAACCGCAAGCATGATTCTACACTAACGGACCTCCGGCAAGGCTATAACAACCTTAACAACCTGAACCTAGGCAGTGATTTATAAAAATTAGAGGAGCACAATAGATCTACTCAGGTCGATGGGCAGAAGGTCACCTCTTTTATTCCTACACCAGGTCTCCCAAACTCTTTGTACCAATTAGTTATGTTCTTTCTAAAAAAGACAATCTTTGTCGAGTCAGAACCATATTAACCCCGAAGGTTTTCTGTTTGGCTAAAGATAATAAGTAGATAGAGAGTAATGTTCTCCTTCGTTTACAGTGCACCCTAAATAGAGATGTTAAATACATAGAAAATGTTTGGACGATGGTTTCAAGACTGTCCAAACGGTCCTCATATCTAGATGTTAATTATTGACTAGTCGATGAGCAACTACTAGATACATGGTATAAATTTACAAGTCATTTTGCTCACGTAGCTAACCTCGTACTGAAATCTAGCAAAACTCTATCAAACCACAGATTAGATAAACAGATCTGCATCCTTCTCTATTGTTACGTTGAAATGATGGTGGTATATGGTTGGTTACATTTGATGGTTTGTGGTCGTCCTAATTACATCAGGGGATAATTAATACTTAGTTTACTCTTTGGCTTGATAAAAATCTTTAATCTCAGAATACGAAAAATATCCATTCTATCCTCGTGTTTCACCCAGTGAAAACTTTTATTTCCGAGAAAAGATTGCTATGGCCAGATTGTGTACTACCCCGTCTCCTATGGGGCAATTTAAAAGGAAGGGGAATTGTTATCTCGGAAGAACAACCCCACAAGCGGGAGTAATAAAGGTGTGAATAGTGCAAAACAGACCGTTGTAAATAATAGAACGGGCCCTAGCCGTCCGAAGAGGCCATAATACAGGATCGCCTACAGGAATAGATAATAAAATATGCACGTACTGAAAGAGGCCGTGTCTAAAATGTGTAAAGTTACAAGACAGAGGATCGACGTACGCATACATCGCCGCCGTCACGAATCGCCAATTGAAACCGACATTATGACAACATTGACAGGAATATTGATAATTTGGTCTCTCTCTCCCCCTGAAAAAAATTTAACAATTCGGTTTTCAATTCATTATCGGACAATAAGGTTGTCTTCTGAGGACAATAATGACTGTGGTCTTCATTTCTTCCTGCGACCTAATGATCTATTGTGAAACTGACTATTATATTTCCATAAGAAAGAAAGTGCAATATTCATAAGGTGAACACTTTCTGGACTGTCTCTTTGCTTATTTCCCTAGGCGCTAATGTTTCCGAAGTTACGTCACCGTTTTCGGGCTAACGCTTCGCAGTCGTAAAGCGGAGAACACACCTAACGGATGCAACGCTACCCGACGCCTTGTTACGTTTTGGTAGGGTGTGCACATCTACGCGACGTCAAGCGCACGCCACGTACAGTCCCACAGCGTGTATCACAAATCAGTATCACAATCACAACGCCCCTTTTGTTCTTATTGCTTTATTTTGAGCAAAAACATGTAATAAATTGTTAATTAAATTTTATGAGCACAACCATGTAATAAGTTGTTTGCTAAACTTAATTGTTTTTTTTTAATAATTTTTTTTCATAACCATCATAATTAACTAATTTTTAAAGACTTATGAAATTTTGATTTCGTTTAATTTAGTTAATTAAAATAGAAATGTTATAATTAATATAACGACCAAATTACACATACTTAG